AAAGCTCATTATTGGAGACTATCATTAGTAATATACCATAGTTTTGAAGGGGTTTCCTATATATATAATGAAGACAATGTGAGGAGTATTTTTCTGTACATCAAAAAGTCTTTAATGGTGTTTTTTAGAAGACTTCAGAGTAGTTATTCACCTCTGACATCAGAGATTGGTAGAGTCACAAGTGGAATCGCTTCTAGGATTAATAGCTATACGTACCAGCACGTTATTAATAATAGTTTTAGTATCTCTTAAATGAAGAACTATTTTTCCAGTCAAGAAGTGAGCTCTAGAAGTTGTGGAGATGCATGCATCTTCTAACACATATCTTCTGTATGTATTAGAAGATATGCAGGATTTCCACAAGGTGATAAAGGTCACTATTGTATCATCTAAATAAATTTTGCCATTTCCCTAGCGTTGTTTGAATTATGTAGTGGATCTATTTTTTTTTTTTTCCTTCTAAAAAACCAATTAATTGTTCCTCTGGGAACATGTGACTTTATTTCCAAGATAAATTGGGCAATTACCACTGGTGATTGGAAGGGCAATGGGTCTGTGTGTTTTCAAGAAACGGAAAAATGAACATATTATTCTAAGTCAAGAAAATAGAGGGGAAATGAGGCTTTAGTCTTGTGAAAGTGAAATTTAAAACTTTCTATTACCTTTGCTTTGTGTTTTTAAAGTTATATTCACATAAATAGTGCTGTGAAGGTTTCACATTCTTTTCCTTTCTGTGATTTGGCCTGCAGCCCAATGTATTCCAATACTTGCAGATTTGCCTTCCAGAAGGATGTCGTCAGTCATTCTGCAACTTCCTTATTGTGGGAAATAGTCACTTTTAAAATGGATGACCTATCATAAAATCCTGAGATTGATCCCAAATTATCTTGAAAGAATAGAACAAAAATACATTCTATTTCTCATCTATCAGCTGTATGTACATGAGTGTAAGAGAAGGATTAAGGCAGTAAATTTGGAATTCTTAGATCTGATCCTCATTCCAAGCAATAAGGGAAGGCTTTAAGACTCCAATGTTGTTAGATAAATACTTCTAGAAATGATAGGGACAGCCCTATGGTCTTAAAACTGTATAATAGTCTCAAAAATTTGTCAGTAATCTGCCCCAAAAATTATGAGGCTGTATCTTGAAATCAGTTTTTTTTTCTGGTTTTAGCTGTTTTGAATGGACATGGTTTTCTGCCATAAGGAAGCATTTCCTCCAATCTTGTAACAATCTTGAATCTTCCCTCTTACATGAAGTAAAGCAAGTTATTGGCAATTTTAGAAGGTAACTTCACAACATGGAGTTCAAACCCAAGCTAAATTACATCCATGTTGAGAATTGCAACCACATTTTTATAAAATTCCCTCTTCCTTCTCCTGTTCAGCTCTGTATAAGACTCTTCTCCAAACTTATTCAAGCATCTAGAAAGAGTCAGTATAGTAGAATTTAATCTGTCTCAATAAGTTATGATTAAAATATGGTCTCAACTGAGTTATTAGTATCTTAGACTAGAGAATACAATAAATATTCAATATGACAAAAGGATATATAACATCTGATGAATTTAAGACATAGAGAAGAGAGAATTTGAAAGAAACAAGTGATTGGCACAGTGACACCTGTAGTGGAAGGAGAATTGTGGGTTGATTACTACACCAGGTATCTGTTTATTCAGTGCAGTTTGTTGAGAAACTTGTAAATTGTGACACAATTTTAGACTTCCTTGCTCAAAGGATGAGAGCTCTCATGTAAATTATGAAAAAATTATTTAGATTTTTTAGCCTTTTACTCTCATGCTAGTTTTATTCATCACCTGTCCTCCTCTGCATGGACAATTTTGTAACAGGATTCAGTCTGAACCTTCTGTCAGGGAATATGTACTGATGGTTTCTGGATGCAGTGATGCTCTTCAAACAATGATAGGAGGAGGAAGACAAGTTTAGGTGGGGGCAGAGGAGTGGTTATTGCCAGTATCCTGATAATTTTGTATGTCTTCAATAGAAGTTTACTTAATATAAAATATTTAGAGTATAGCCAGACTGTAGTTGAACTCAGTATCTGAAGTTATGTTTACTTATCATATACAAAGGCAGTTTTTACATTTGTTTCAACATTAACAGTTAAAAATGAAATTTGATATCTTCATTCTGTATTCAGTACCAAGAAGTGGTATGTATCATCATTCTTGATCACTGTCTGTTAGTCTCTAAATGTGCTTCTTTTACACTCTGCCTTGGTCTGAGAGGTGTGTTGCTGGCAGTAACAGTCATCCCCTGTGGCCTATCAAGCAGGAACCCCAAGGGAAGAAAGGTCAACACATTCTTCATGTACAGAAGAAATTATCTGGCACACTATTTTGTCAGATTCTTCTGTTGCTTCAGCATGTATTTGGCATCAGCATTTCTGAGGCACAGAAAAGTGTCCCAGCTCTTGTTTTAAGACCCAGAAGATTCAGGATATAAACTCCATTGTTTAGAATAAAAGAACTTAGGTAACCAAATGTCTATGTTATGATTCTACTTGCCTAGAGAGTAAATTTTCCAACCACCATCACTGCATCCATTACATTTGATGTTTATTTTTCTGCTTCTTGCATCTTAAGGGTGAGAAAGATTTTCTGTGAAATCCAAGATAAAATAAACAAAATTGTTACACATCCTTTGAGCATGTAACTCCCCATCTTAATGCAGTGTTTGAAGTGCATGCAGTGACCTGATTTGTCATTGTAAAGGGAACTATAGTGCTGGCATTTCAGAGTATTTCAGTTTATTTTTTGGGCCTTTCACAAAGTAACTGGAAAAAAGAAAACCTCCTTTTTTGTGAGAAAGCCTTCTCGAAAGTACAGTTTTGAGATACTGAGATTATGTGATTGATGGTATCTTGGGATCATGTGTCTTTTATATTAATTTATGACTAAAACTGAGAGGAAATTGCAGTAGCCATAATTATTCCCTTATTTGTGGATTAATGGTAGGTTGGGAGTTTGCAGCATAATTTGCAAGTAGCAAGTCTGTAGTGAAGCAATTCTGTTTTTTTTCTGGTCCTGTCTAATGTTTTCCTCTATTTTTTGGTAGATAGTTGGGCAGGTTTCAGACGTTTTTATCATGAGCAATTACTACAGATAAATCAAAGAGATTTTCCACCTATGTAGACAAAATAAGAGATTTGTTTGCTTCCACACGTGTATCTAATGGGTCTTTAAGTTCCTTAAAATATCTCACCTAAAATACAGTTAGTATTCAGGACATCCAGTACTGAAGCTATGACAGAAGACTTGCAAGGATCTCTTCGTCTTTTGCAGACACAAGTAGACCCTCTGTCTCTCTTTGAAAATATAAGTAGTATGCTTTCTTCTAGCTTACTTAGGAAGCCTTTTTGAAATTTTATTTCTCTCTTTTCAGTTTCTTTCCTGAATTGTAGTCACACCAGTTCTGCTTTCCTGACAGCAGAGTCATAGCAGCTGTGGTGCAGGAAAACATGTCCAAAGAAAATAGTGGCAGGGGTTTTTATAGTGTACAGTAAAAGGCTCCAATTTAAACCAAAGAAAATCCTATACCTCAAATACTATCTGAAGCTCAGACTGTTGTTCCTTAAAATGGCACTAGGTGCGTACGTTTAGGCCATTTAATCAAAAAAATTAGATCACTAGGCTTGCTTCAGTTACTGGATTTGGAAGAGAAATCAGCAGCACTGAAGAAAGGACCTTTTACAAAATTTGTTTAGCCCATAAGCTGGAGGCTTGAGTGTGGATAGTCTGTGTGGATTCAGGATTCAGTAATGGGTTCAGAGGATGTTCATTATTTAGGTATTTTAGTAGCTTGCCTCTTATAAAACCAATTATGAATATGTGATTAGGGTTTATGTGGTTCTAAGATCCGTGACTTAGCGAAATCTGTAAATTTTCATAGGATCAGTATGAAGCATCTTATTGATTAATGAGTGGTTTTCACAACTATTCTTTGAGAAAATTTCCTTCTCTTTGCAAAGCTATGTTTCTTTGTTGTTTTTTTTTTCCCCCATGTCAGGAAACAAGCAATGGAAATGTCTTCCTGATTTTTTAGTAATGGAAAAAACAAAATGTAAAGCAGAATAGATCTGTAACTGTAACTCTGTCTTCCCATTTTTGTTTAGAACATGAAGTCTCAACTACAAAATTTATCTCTGAACTGTAATCCAGCTAATTATGTACTTTGTTGTTTTTTTCTGTACGATTAAATTATTATTACTCCTACAGAAAATTTTAAAGGAATTATACCAAAATAAATTAATCTTTACTTGCTAGAGAGAGATCTTGACCTTGTTTGATCTGAAGGACCAAAACTCTTTTGGTGTGACAGAGGCAGTGGGTTGTATGGCAAAAAGCTGCTTGTGATGCATTGAGAATTTTCTCTGTAACTTTGTGGTACATGAAGTAAGAATTATCTTCTATTATCTGTGAAGTGGTTTGAATCAGTTTTGAAAGCTTATCTTGGAAATCCATATTAATGGTAAAAGAATTTTAAAGACTTAGTTTGTAATTAGTGACTGGGTTTGTCTTCATTTATAATGGGCAAGAAACAGAGACTGAACTCAAGGAGGAATGGCTGGGGTGCAGATTATTGCCTGCCCTATATGATAAAATGTACAAGGTGTCACACTGAAGCAACGGGAAGAAACTATTGCTGCTGTACTTTGTTACACTTGATATGTTTGTTGGGCAACATGAATTGGAAAAACAAGATGTGTTTTCACATTCTCTAGGCAAGGAAGCTAAAGTTTGCATAAGGGTTAAGCAGAAAACATTACCTTCTAAAACGTACTTGAAAATCAGAATGAATTACAGTTTTTAAATGATCACGTCATTCTTCTTTTGAAAAAATGAAAGAAAAAGAAAAAAAAAGCATTAAATTAAGAAGTTCAGCCTAAATTCAAGCTTCTTATGAAGTCATCAGGGTCAGCTTCAGAAATGTGGTTTAAAATCCTTGGGTTTTGATCATGTTATATTTTATCTTCTTAGGAATGGCAAAATTCTATTCAGAAGAATGCAGGACTTGCATTTATTGAGCTCATCAATGAAGGAAGGTAATTTAATTTTAAAGCTTTTGAACAAGTAGTCATTTTGCATTTATTCCATTGGGTGATAATACATCCTTACCATCTGTTCCAAAAAGATTGTGAAAAGGCCATTTTAATTAAGAGTTTTGTTATATAGATACTTTATATAGTAAATATTTAATTTAGAAATGTGTAAATCCTGAAAATTTTGTTTACTGACAGAAGGAAATAGAGCTCCTATGAACTGTGTATAGGTGTGGGTTTCTTTGTGAATTGAACCACCATTTTCCAGAGCAGCAAGGTTGTTTTACCGAGACAGTGCAGGAAGCCCAATCTGTAAACCCATCTGCTGCTCCATCTGTTTTAGGAGCACAGCATTCATTGTACAGATGCACTTCTCTGTGCTATCATTTCATGAGGAATTATTTTATCTAGAATTTCTGGTCCAGTTCAAGTCCTGTAAAACACACAGGACATTATGTTTGTAAGAGCTGCCTTGCTTTTGCAAATTGTTAAGATACTTTATTATTGGTCCTCAAATAATTTTAATGTTGCACTTCTGTGTGAGGTTTGTCTACTTCCAGCAAGCAAGCTGGGCAGCAAAGGGGAACTCTGGCCTTCCTGGTAGTGGAATGCCAAAGACAAACACAGCCACTTGTGTAATGCGTCTGACTCATTTTTGTCCACTCCATTAAATCCATCTGAATCTAGATGTCTAACTATGTGCAGATGAAAAAAAAAAAAAAAAAAAAAAAAAAGGCAAAATATCTCTTGAAGAGATGTCATTTTGTGTGTTGTTTCACTTTTTCACCAATGGTGAGTCGTTACCAAAGTAAAGTATCAAATCTTCTCTTTACTTGAGGGTATTTTATGTCTAGCTAACCTTTCAGTGCTTAAGTCATGCATGCATTTAAAATGAAGTTTAGAAAACATCAGAGCATAAGGATATAGGAATAAAAGTATATGGAAAACAGAGACATGTAGCTTATTACCAAATTTTTGTTTAGTGTAAAATGTCTTAGATTCCCAGTGCACGCTGAAGTTGCACTGCGACTTCGTTGCAAATTCTTGCTGTGAAGTGGCAATATGAGTTTACACGATAATAGGGCTTGCCTGAGTAGGTCATGTACTGCACATTGTACAATAAATATCACATGGTAATAGGCTGAATAATTATAGTAAGCTTATGTTCTTGTATAGTAATATACAATCCCATTTTGACATTTTTTCTTAGGCAGGCTAGATGTTGTTGCATGCTTACTATTGATCAAATGCTCATTCTGAATAGATCCTACATCTGCATATTTTGAGCACTCAGGTGTTAAGATATCAATAGACCCTTTACTCCCCTCTAACGATAACTTCTCAAACCAGAAGTATTTGAGAACTGCTGCATAAATCCCATTGAAGGAATCAAACTGCCCTTAGACACATGCTCCTGCATATACTGTTTTCAGAAGGGTGTTTCAGAACAAGTGTGTCTGCAGTACTAGAACACTCATTCTTGCAATCAGCCCATTTGTTTTTAATTTACCCTTTTGGGTATAAAGATAACAATCCTTTAACTGGAAATTGTTATAAATATTTATTCTGCTTAATAGCTAAACTTGTGAATGCAATTCATCAATCATAGCTAGAGAATGCAATTGTGCAGTTGTCAACAATTAACGAGACATAAACAGTTGATGAATGTGCAGCTGAATTAAAGTGCTCCCCAGGATAACCTGAAATTATAAACTGGATCATTTAAAGGAATCTAACAAAGGATCTTTATAATTAAAACAAAGCAGGGTTAATGGGATGTAAAATTGCATATAATCACTGTGCAATAATGATTGAATTTTAAATTATTAAAAGCAAAATGAAGACTGAGAATATTTTGAAGGACTTTCTAGGTAAGATTTTGAGATTCCTGGGTAATAAATCATCAGATTTGAGAAAACTTTTGAGTGTGGAAGAAAAGGTTTTGATGTAATGCAAAGGATCATAGTTTTAAATGTTTTCAGTTAGAAGTCTATATCTGTTTTAACGTATGGATGCTATAAGGTAATTTTCTGAACACCTGACTTTCATTGTTTCTGCTTGAAATAGTTCAAGTGCCTTTCTGGTCTTTGACTTTATTAGAAATGTTCTGAAATAAGATATTTAAGTGGAGTTTGAGTTATAAAAACAATATCTATATTGCTGTAACTGATAAATTGCATTTGTATTTTAAATCAGTTAATTTACTCTGTTTCTGCTTTTTCTTGTTTTAGATAACCCTTTGTTAGAAAGGTGTGAATGATACATTGGTAGAATTCAACATACAAACACCGATACAACTTTCTAGAAATAAGAACTGTTAAAACACTTTTTAGTATAACAGAAGTATCTAACTGTAGATTTAACTTAATACTTTCAAGAAAAACATATGCAAAGAAGTTTAATTTGGAAGTGTACATTAACACTGTGTAGAATATATCTGAAAGACTTGGTTATGATCTTGAATTTTATTCTTATTTTTAATCAGTCTTATGCTATGCATGTGTGATGTTGAGAGTATCACATATGTCAAGAGCTTCACTGATAGCAGCTTAATTAGGGTTTTAGATTTACATTAGGTTGTACTCATAAGTAGGCTTCTTCATTTAAGAGCTGGGTGCATCTGCAATGTTGGCTGTAAAAGGAGACAGTAAGAGGTCTTTAGGAATAATGTGGGAGGAAGATTACAACCCACATTTAAGTGGGGCAGTGATGGATGAGGTCTGAAGAAAAGGGCGCAGGGTGACAAGAACAACATACAAGATAGAAGCACCTGTCTCAGTAAATATGTACACAAATGCATGCAGCTTGGGAGACTAGTAGTAGAAATCACTCTGTGTGCAGTCACAAAGCTATGACATCACTGGAAGGCATGAGATTTGGTGGGGCTGCCTGCACTGCACTTCACAAGTGCTGGGGTGAGCAGTACAAGTTCCTTGGGAAAGACAGGCAGAAAAAGCAAGGAGTAAGTGTTGCCTTCTCTGGCAAGAGAGTCCGAAAGACAGGCAGAAAAAGCAAGGAGTAAGTGCTGCCTTCTCTGGCAAGAGAGTAAGGGTGACGTCATGGTGAGAGCTTGTTACAGGCCACCTATTCAGGACGAGAGAAAGAAAGAAGCATTGTTTAAACAATTTGAGGAAGGATTTTGATCACAAACCCTCATTCTCATGGGAATCATTTGCCTTCCTGACATCCACTGGAAGTGCAACAAGGTGGGTTGCATGCAGTCAAGATTTCTGGAGGGTGCTTCTTGATACAGGACAAACCAAGAGTGACACAGCTGGATTTACTTTTCACTAGCAAGCAAAAATTACTTTTGAATGTGGTAATTAGTGGCACCTTCAGCGTAGTTACCATGAAATAGTAGAGCACAAGATCTTGAGGGAAATGAGGATGGGGAATAGCAGATTACAGACTTGACAGATGCCAATTTTAGCTTATTCAGGAAACTACTAGGTAGGATCCCATGGGAGGCAGATGTGGTTCAAGGGAGCACTGGATAGCTGGCAGGCCTTTAAGTACAGTATCATCCAAGTGCAAGAACAAGAAAGGAAGCAGATGCATCAAGAGACTGGTTTGGCAATCCAAGGAAATTATGATAGGGCTCTGTTCTGATGTGAGTACACATGAGGTGGAATTAGAAGCAGCCTCGAGAAGAGAAATTTATAAAAATTGCTTGAGCATATAAGTTGTCAGGAAGGCCAACACTTAACTGGAAATTACACTTGAAAGAGTTATCAAGGGCAAGAAGAACTTCTACCACTTCATGGATAGTAAAAGGCTGACAAAGGAAAATGTGGCCTGTTGCTGAACGTCATGAGTGATTTTGTGACAAATATGACTGAGATACTCAATGCCTTATTTCCCCCAGTCTTCACTAAGGTTTCTCAGTGCTCTGAAAGGGTTCAAGGAGAACGAACAGCAATGTATGAGCACTGAGTCAAGAATTCCATGAAACAACTTATCCCATACAAATCAGTACGTGCTGGGGTACATCTGATGGTAATGGAAATCCTTGCAAGGCTGATCACTATATCACTGAAAGATCAAGGGAATCGGGACAGGTCATATATGCCTGGAGAAAGGCAAATGTTTCACCTATCTTAAAAAATCCAGAGAACTGTAAGCTGCTCAGCTGTTATTCTGTCCCTTGGAAAGCCATATAGTAAGTTCTTTTGGTACACATTTCTGGCCACATGAAGGAGAAGGTAATTGAGAACAGTCAACATGGATTTACAAATGTCAACTGACCAATCTGTTTACTTACTATGATAAAACAACTAGGTTTGTGGACACAGGGAGAGCAGTTAACACAACCTTGACATTGGTAAGGTTTCCACACTGTCTCCCACAAAACTAATATATCAGTTAAAACACCTCATTTGCCTCTATGCGAATGCACACAGAATGGGAAGTAAACAGGAGGAGTTAGAGCTACGTGCAAACCTGCAGGGCTGTGATCTTATTGGCTTTACAGAGATCTGGTGGGATGGTTCCTATGATTGGAGCATCAGAATGGAGGGTTATAAACTAGGAAGGACAAGCAGGGAAGATGAGGTGGGGGTGTTGCCCTCTATGTCAAAAACCAGCTGGAGCACATGGAACTCTCCCTGGGACTGGATGAGGAGCCAAATGAGAGTTTATGGATTAAGATATAAGGGAAGGTAGGAACAGGTGACATTACAGTGGGGGTCTGCTACAGGCTACCTGACCAGGAGGACAGCAGACAGATAGGAGTGGCTTCATGTGCCTAAGCCATGGTACTTATGGGTGACTTCAGCCACCCTGATATCTGTTGGAGAGACAACTCAGCAAAGCACAACCAATCCAGAGTGTGTGGATGACAACTTCCTTTTCCAAGTAATTGAGGAACCAAAAAAGAGAGGTGCTATGCTAGATCTTGTTCTCGCCAACAAGGAAAGGCTGGTGAGGGATGTAAGGCTCCAGGCCAACCTTGGATGTAGCAACCATGAAAAGATGGAGTTCAAGATCCTTAGGGCAGCAAGGAG